GGTGTTTGTCTCCTTTTATTGTTTTCTCCTTTTGTTGTCTGTCTCCTTTTGTTGTCTGTCTCCTTTTGTTCTCTGTCTCCTCTTTTTTTTGTCTCCTTTTCTCCTCTGTCTCCGTCTACTGTCTGTCTCTCTTTTTTTTTCTGTCTCTCTGCTTGCTTGCTTTGTTGTCTCTTTCCCTGGTTTTGCCTGTCTCCTTTTTTGTTTGTCTCCTTTCGTTGTCTGTCTCCTCCTGTCTCCTGTCTCCTCCTGTCTCCTGTCTCCTCTTGTCTCCTCCTGTCCCCCCCTTCATCTGTCTCCTCCTGTCTCCCCCTGTCTCCTTCTGTCTCCTTTTGTCTAATTCTGTCTCCTTCTGTCTCTTTCTGTCTCCTTCTGTCCCCACCTCTCTCCTTCTGTCTCCTCCTGTCTCCTTCTGTCTCCTTTTGTCTCCTTCTGTCTCCTTTTCTCTCAGTCTTCGTCTGTTGTTTCTGTTGCTGCTGTCTGTCTCCTTACTGTCTCCTCTTCTCCCTAGCCCATCTTCTGTCTTCAGCTGCATCGACAGCAGCAGCTTGGCACTAGCTGCTGCTGCTGCTGCTGCTGCTGTTGCTGCTGCTGCTGCTGCTGCTAATAAGACTCATGTTGCTGCTGCGTTTGCTGCTGCAGTCGTTGATGGCCCTTGTGGGTTTAGTTCTCTCCTCCACCAACTTCGTTGCCTTCTACAAATGCGCGAGATGTGTGTCCCCCTTGCTGCTGCTGCTGCTGCTGCTGCTGCTGTTGCTGCTGCTGCTGCTGCTGCTTCTCCCGAATGATCGTTGTGATGGCTAGACAGGGGTTGTCGTGGGCCTTGCAGCTGCCGTTGCTGTTGTCTCCGCCTTCTGGCTATTTTGCTGCTGTTGCTGCCGCTGCGCTGCAGAAACTGCACATCACTGCTGCTGCTGCTGTTGCTGCTGCTGCTGCTGCTGCTGCTGCTGCTGCTGTGTGTACAGCTCAATCCCCAGCAGAAGCCGCCCTGTCTACCCTCCGCGCTGCGACCTGGCGGCATGCAGTTCTGTCCCGTTTGGGGCTTAGCTAAGAAGGAGACTGTCTCCTTTCTGTCTCCTTTCTCCTGTCTCCTGTCTCCTGTCTCCTTTCTCCTGTCTCCTGTCTCCTTTCTCCTGTCTCCTGTCTCCTTGCTGCATGCAGCAGCAGCACACGTTCTCTGCCCCCGACCTGCACCGCAGCAAGGAGGATCTCTGTACAGAAGCATCTGCCTTTTGTCTTTGCCCCTAGGGAGCGAAGCTCCGTTGTGTCTCCTTGCGTGGCTAGCCAGACCCTTGTATAGCTAGCTAGCTAGCGGCACAGCTAGCTGGGCAGGCCCAGGCAGAAGTTGCTGAGGTCCTGCCTGGCCTNTAGCTAGCTAGCTAGCGGCACAGCTAGCTGGGCAGGCCCAGGCAGAAGTTGCTGAGGTCCTGCCTGGCCTGGCTGCGGCTGCTTGCTGCAGGGGGAGACACATTGTTTAGCTAGTGAGGCAACGCTTCCTTACCCCAGGCCCCGGCTAGTCGACAGCTAGCTACTCCTCCAGCTAGCTACTCCTCCAGCTAGCTACTCCTCCAGCTAGCTACTCCTCCAGCTAGCTACTCCTTCAACTAAATATTTATGTTCCCGCAGCAGGCCAAGGTGCCAATGCAGGGCCCCCCAGTGCCCTCGTTTCTAGCTAACCAGAGCTGCAGCTAGCCAGCTAGCTAGCTAGCCAGCTAGCCACAGCCTTTTCTCGGCTCCTGGATCAGGGCCCCTCTGTACAGGAACAGTTGAAGGAGTAACGCAACACAGAGGAAACACAACAGGGTCCTGCTAAACCCTAGACTAAACCCTAAACCCTAGACTAAACCCTAGACCCTAGACGAAACCCTAAACCCTAGACTAAACCCTAGACCCTAGACGAAACCCTAAACCCTAGACTAAACCCTAAACCCTAGACTAAACCCTAAACCCTAGACTAAACCCTAAACCCTAGACTAAACCGTAAACCCTAGACTAAACCCTAAACCCTAGACTAAACCCTGAACACCCGCGCTTGCAGCCCCACATCTCTACCCAGCTTCATTGTGCTGTGGTGGTGGCTCAGCTAGCTACTGGCCGCTGCAGCTAGCTGCGGACCGCTGCAGCTGGACCCCAGCGTACCGCGGGGGCCCCCATACAGGGGCCCCATAGGCCTCGTGGGGGCCCCCCAGGGGCCCCCAGGGGACCCCAGAAGCCCTGCGGCAGGCCAGTACTTCAAAGCCCGAAGGACTCAGGCTGAAAGCACAGAGTGAATATCTCTTATTTATTGTGCTTTGCATGCAGAGGTGTTTGTGTGCGGTGTATGTACACTGTACACACGAGCTGGGGTGTATGCACAGATCGCCGGTATTCTGCCGCTCAATCTCGTCGTTCTCTCTCTATTAAAAATTATTTATATAATAAAAATAATTTATTTAATTTATTTACTTATTTAAACTAGTTCATTCCCCCTCATGCTGCAGGCTGTCGGCTGCTGCTGCTGCTCTTGCTGCTGCTGCTGCAGCTGCTGCTGCGGCCCCACACTGTGGGGCCCCGCGCAGGTCCTTGGGTATCAGTGGGCTTGCAGCAGTTTGTTTGTATTTCTTAGCTTAATTATAATTATTTTTATTTTATTTTATTTTATTAATATTTTTTATCTGCTGCAGCAGCAGCTCTTCTCCTCCCCGCGCATTGCAGTGCCTCACGAGGCCCCCAGCCTTCTTGGTGGGGCCCCTCCCTTCTCTCATAAGCTGCAGCAGCAGCAGCAGCAGCAGCAGCAGGAGCAGCAGCATCAGCAGCAGGATTTTTTTCAGCTCCGATGCCAC